GAGAGAGAGAGAGAGAGAGAGAGAGAGAGAGAGAGAGAGTCGTTCTTCGGATAAATTCCGCCCGGGAGAGCGGGTCATGAAAGGAGCAGGACGAAGAGTAAAGAAGGGAAGAAGAAGAAGAAGAAGAAGAGGAAGGAGGAGGAGGAGGGAGGAGGAGGGAGGAAAGACCCAAGGTTCATGGAAGCGAAGTGAAGGCAAAGTGGGTTTTGATGGATTGCTGAAAGAAGCTGCCCGCATGAATGTGTGCTTCGGCGGAACAGAAGCGGACGGCTGGGATTTTTTTTTCATTTTTAAAATTTTAATTTTTTTGGGGTCATATTGGAACTGATTTTCAAATGTGGAATGGAGGGTTAAACTCTTAGCATGCATTCGCCTCCTACGGCTTGCCCGCCACTGATATGCCGCCCAGGTACTAGTCAAATCAATCACCAATCAAATCAGACAAATCAAACAAATCAATTAAATCGATCACCAATCAAATCAAGTCAATAAAATTATTGAAAGCAATCGAAGCAATCTAATCAATCACCAATCAAATCAAATCCAAATGAGTAATCTATCAAATCACCGCGTTTAAATCGAATCAAGTCAGTCAATCTATTAACCTATTAATCAATCAAAGACCAATCATTGTCAAACATTTTTTTTTCCCCCTTTCCCGCTTCTCTTTGATGGGCGGCTGACTTCAGACATATCACCAACTGGTGCCTGCCACGGGGTAATTAACGAGCTCCTGTCGTTTGTCATTCTATTTTCTAATTCTAGTTGCCAATCAATCAATGAATCAATCAACCAATCAATCAACCAATCAATCAACCAATCAATCAATCAATCAATCAATCAATCAACCAATCAACCAATCAACCAATCAAGCAATCACTCAGTCAATCAATCAGTTGATCAATCAATCAATCAATCAATCAATCAATCAATCAGTGAATTAATCAATCAATTAATCCATTAATAAATCAATTATTTTTGACAGTTAATCAATTAATCAATCAGTCAATCAATCAATTAATCAACAGATCAGCTTAGCAATCATTTCGACGCCAGCTTTGGCTGGATTAGGCTCGCCCGATTTCAGATGCAAGAGGCGAATAGCGGTAGTTGAACCCCTGTTTTCGAATTCAATTTCACAATCTGACACTTTGACCTATGAAGTTATATTCGTGGTGGTCCCCACTTGCTCGAACCGACGAAGTGTTTTTTTTTTTTTTTTTTTTTTTGGGAACAGCATGGCTTCCATTGCAATGATACAGGAGGCCGGGAAACGCTCCACATCTCAACCCGGAGAGAGAGACCCAGCCTCTGAGAGGCTTAACTGCAAACGGGGTCCAGTATGCCATACTCTTCACAGCAATCTTGCTATCCCTGAAAAATGACGAAGTGTTTTAGTCTGTCCTTTTTACCTTTTTTTTTATTTTTTATTATTTTTTTTATTTTTTTATTTTTTTGAAAGGACAACGGCCTTGAGATATCATCATTGAAGCTGACCATCGCTAGGTAATTCAGAATTGTGTTATTCTGTTCGTCTCTGAGTGTATCTGGATTCGAGCTTGAGTCTGCATTTCAACAGTTCGTGCGTGGGTGTACCAACTGAGCTACGCCCGTTGGTTCTTTACCCATTTCCACCAACGTGAAGGACCGGGTTCTTTATCCGTATGCTCACTATCGGTCGGTTCTCCGTAATCCCGGGTTGAACTTGTCGTTAGTTGTAGAGATATGGAGTGCAGGGAGTACATCAGGAGGACCAAACCACATACTATTACCTTTTTTTTTTTTTTTTTTTTTTTTTTTTTTTTTTTTTTTTTTTTTTTTTTTTTTTTTTTTTTTTTTTTTTTTTACTTTTTCCTACTACAAGATCAGCTGAGAGGGAAAGTCCACAATTAGTGTAACCAAAAAAGAAAAGCCGCCAGAAGTTCGAGCACGGCAGGATGTCCGGAGGTGAAGTTCACCTCCATTTAAAAATAAAATAATTTTTTTTTTTTTTTTTTTAAGTTCACCTCCAGTTAAACCACTGCAGTAATTCCTAAAGTCGTGCCCATTACCGAGTCACGATTTTAGGAAACGTACGGGCCACTACAGGAGCGCCCAAATTCATCCGTTTCTACTAGAAACGTTTCTACTCTATTTTGTTCCACGGGCCATAGCTGGGCCGAGTACTGGTGGGTTAAGTTAATACTACTTTGTTCTTTCAACTTCTTTGGGCAAAGCTTCGCCCTTTTTGTTTGTTTTCAGGTCCTACTGGAGGGGAACACGGTAATCCAGACGAGACGATTTCGGTTCAAAACAACGTCGAAATGCGGCGAGGAACATCGATGTTAAATGCCCAAAGTGGTATGCTTTTTTGCCACGGAGGAGGAGAATTTCTCTCTCTCTCTCTCTCTCTCTCTCTCTCTCTCTCTCTCTCTCTCTCTCTCTCTCCCCACATCTCGTCTCATAGAATGTGTGTGTGTGAGAGTGGATGGAGGAGACGAGGGATTTGTGAGGGAGAATTGTTTTCCTCGTGCCGCGGACAGCAGGCAGGACGTCGGCAGTCTGTCGAGCTTTAGTCGGAAGGCTGAACAAAATCCTGTTTAGTAAAAAAAAAAAAAAAAAAAAGTTGTTGTTTTGCGCAGGTGACTTGAGTTGTGTACTGCATGCAGATCACAATCCTTTTTCCAAAAAGTCAAAAGAAAAAAAAAAAGAAGAAGACGAAAAGACAAGCACACAAGTGACAAGTAGATTGCAAGAGAACACAGTACACAAGTACGAACTAATGATTACATTCAGTGAATCAGTGGCGGCGGGTAATGTAATCATAATGGCTACCCAAGCCCTTGCCACGCGTCGCCAGTGCGCAATTAGGGCATCACCACACCACTCTCGAAATGTGCGAAATGGGAATGAACTTTCCGCTAAAAGATGGCCAGATGCAACCGCCACATTTTTGTCTTTTTCACATTTCGAGAGTGGTGTGTGTGGCGAGGCCCTTAGGAACGACATGCTTTAGTAGAGAAATGGTCCAAAATATTTTGAAGAAATCCTGTTTAGTAAAGATTATAAAAGATGGATTAGGCACTGAACAAAATCAGTCAGCGGAAAAAAAATAATAATTATAAAAAAAATTGAAATAAAAATCGGAAGAAACCATTGAAGGGGGTTGGGGACGGGGTTGTGAAAAATGATTTCCTCGTCATGTTTAATTTCGAGACACTATACTACTATGATTATCATCATTATTGTGATAATAATAATAATAATGGTTATTTAATTTGAATTTTGAACATAATTAATATGACTTTTATATAATTTTTTATTTTTCGTAGGGTAGACCTTCGATATGCCCTAATGAAACGCCGGTATAATTGTCGTTGAACCCTGAAAAAGCGCTCACCTTTTCGTTGTGCCCGCGGCCCCTCCCACTTTGTTGTGTAACCTACCCTACCCTCTTCCCCCGAACACAACGCACCCTCATTTTGGCCGCACCTAACAGGAAAGATAGCTTGTATACATTCGTTATCAGGGTCTTTTCCTTCTTTTTTTTTTTTTTTTTAATTTGGACCGTTTCTCGATTTATGCGTGTCATCCTTGCGCAGGGGCCATGCTAATCTTCTCTCTCTGTATTGAACACTGGATTCGTGAAAACCAAATAAAACGGCAAAATCTCACATTTTTTATAGAATGAAAACGTAAAAGTGAAACTGTTATTTTTTACACAAAAAGAGAGCGTTTTTAACTGTTTTTTGATACAGGAGGCAAAAAACGAGGTGAAAAGTCAACTGTTCCTAAAATGTGCAAGAAAACCCTTTCTTGCAAAATCCTCTTATATGGCTATAAGTCATTCTCAGTAGATTTGCAAAAAACAAAGCTTAAATAGGATAATTTTTAAGGACTACAAGGCAAACTTGAAAGATGTAAAAAATAAAAGGATTTTGGTGAATACTCATTTATAGAACTATAAGTCATTTTCAGCAGTTAGGTAAAAACCAAGATCTGCGAAAACTAATTCATAGGACTATAAATCAATTTTGACGTTAACAATAAAACTAGGAAACACCCGCGGACGCGTCCGCGGGGTCGAGCTCGGATGGCGGCCGTATATACGGCCGCGTCCGCGGCCGACCTCGTCCATGCCGCGGAGGCGAATTTACCATATTTTTCCTGAATTAAATAATGGATTAAAAAAAATAAAAAAATATGGGGTTATAGGGATTTTTAATCCCTGCAACCCCATGGTTTTTTTTTTTGGAAACAGACAAGTTTTTAGAATTATAGAAAAT